ACAGAGCACCGGGTCAGGCTGGGCTCTGCAGCTGCCCTGCCCCAGGAGCTCACAGCCCCGCCGCCAAGAGCATTGCGCCGGTGGCACGGCGAGCTGAGGCTGTGGGTGAGGGGAAACAGCGGGGGGAGGGGCCGGGGGTGAGCCTCCCAGGCCAGGAGCTCGGGGGCCGGGCAGGATGGTCCCGTGGGCCGGATGTGGCCTGTGGGTCGTAGTTTGCCCACCTCTGCACTAGTCTATGCCCTCTGCTTGGCATTCAGTCAAACTGTCAGAGAGCCAAAGACACCCAGATTTCTCTCTTCAAAATGGCCATTTGGTTGCTGAGGTGGAAAGACAGCAGTAGCCAAAGAATTGCACAACCTACTGTTCTGTGAATATATATCACATATACAGTACCTAACAATACCTATGTGGTATGCAGTTGCTTTCCTAGCGCCAGCCTAAAGAGTGAAAATGCTCAGGAATAAAGCATCTAATTACCTTGTAGAATATCAGCAAAAGATCATCCAGTTTTCCATGCAAATCACCTAGAGGGAACAGGATATTCAAAGTTTTGTGACAAAGTCTGTTATACCACTCTGATTAAATGAGGTGTCAATATGATTTTATCACATTTTCCCTTGTAGAACTGTCCTTGCACTTGGATTATACAGACTAAATTTTCAAAATGGTGTGCCTGAGCACATCTAAATCTGGCAATTACACACTGAAGTGAGCCTACAGTAGCCTTGCATGAAGCTTTAATCTTTTTATGTGGGCGTGTTGGAGGGTAGAAGATCACTTGCACCCTTGAAAAGAGTTAGGTATTTGAAGAGATGGGTACACTATGGACAAACATATTATGAATCTTAATTCTTATATCTGTGCTTTGTTATCAGTGAAGGGTGCCCTAGAAATACTTATGAGAAAATGACAGGAACCTAGAAATAAGTGTTTAGCATACCTATCGTAGAATATCAGGGTTGGAAGGGACCTCAGGAGGTCAACTAGTCCAATTCCCTGCTCAAAGCAGGACCAATTCCCAATTAAATCATCCCAGCCAGGGCTTTGTCAAGCCTGACCTTAAAAACCTTTATGGAAGGAGATTCCACCACCTCCCTAGGTAACCCATTCCAGTGCTTCACCACCCCCCCAGTGAAAAAGTTTTTCCTAATATCCAACCGTAAGTGCACGCTGGCACTTAAGCAGATGGTCATGCTTAATTGGGCAACTAAATTAATGATATGCTCACATGTAAATTATTGGGATTTTAAAATACTATTTATTTATTTTTTAAAAATCACCTTGTTATGTGACATATATTATATAGCATCTGTTTTATTTGTCTAATTCTGGACCAGAGTTTGGCTGTTACGGGTGGGGATGGGCAGAGAGAGTATAAATAATCTTTCCAAGAACAAGATGCACCAATAATCCCAGTTTTAGCTCTGTCAGGGGGGTTTCTTGTGGAATAGTATACAGTACTATTCAACAGGAGGAATTCATCCCTGTGCAAAGGGATCCTGCACTACTTTAAGTCTTCAAAGTAGACTAAGTTGAATTTAACTGGTGCATAGGTGCCCTTTGCATAGGAGTGAATTTCCCCTGGATGAGAAGGGGAGCCAGAATCGGGCTCTTAACTTGTATCGCATCATCCAAATAAACATAAAAAAAAGTCTTCCAAATTTACATAAATATACTCAATGATTTCATCCTTTCACCATCAGTATTAAAAATGGGGTGAGCAGAGGCATTTTTACTCTGTTCATAGGACATATATGCAACTATGTCAGAGCCTGAATCAAGGCCAACATTAGTCAATTTAAACACTCCCGTAGACTTCAATGGGCTATGGGGTTCAGATAGGAAAATATTTCAGAATAATATTTAATCCCCAGTTTCTGTATGAAGTTCAAAGGGGATCTGGAGGCAGGAAATCTTATTTTAAGTTAATATTTTGGTCTCAACATCAGTAAAAATTAGGCTTTCATCTGCTACAAAACATCTTTTTGGTTTCAAAGGCCATTATTTATTTGAATGGCAGGAAGGGACATCTTTTATGCTGCTTAAATAGTGCAAATGAGGCTACAAATAGGAGGATACATGTATATTGATTAGCAAGAGAGTACTGATCAGTCAGCAAAGGTGAACATACGCGTATTTGGTTCAGATTTTTGGTTTTGTTTTTTTAAGTCTAGTGAACAATAGTTTATCTAAAAGACCTCAATTAGGTGCACAGCTGCGCATGTAAAATCCCTTGTTTGCAATTGTATTACATGCTCAACCAACTCTTATGAAAATTGTACACTTAATAGCAACTTATTATTGTAAGTAACTTTGGACAAATTATAGTTGTCATTTACTATAGCCATTACTATTCTGTTTTGCAGCTAAAACTCCCTACCCAGGCTCTGTTGTCCTTTTATCTATAATCTATGACAGCATAATCAAAATGGATGGATGGTAGGCACTTTTTATTCTGAAACTTCTTCCCTCTGTCCCACTACATCACCGCATGAAGATTAAGCCCTATAATGACATTAATCCGTTTAGAAGGCAGAAGGTTTAATAGGCTATTACACATGTTGTTACATACAATATAATCTATTCCAGAGGCAGGCACGTTGTCAACCAAGGGCCTCATTCTGCCATCTCCATCAATGGCAGCAGTCACAGAGTGAGGTACGACTAAATGTAAAGATGGCTGAACTTGGCCTGAAACATGGTGAATTTCAGCGTACTGACTACACCCAGGGCAGGGTGTTTCTATCATATACTCCATAACTCTAATCTTATTAACTGGGAAATATAGGGGCATCATGTGCTACCTCAAAGTAGCACCCTGGAACCTCCATATTCACCATGGTGATACAATTATGATACGTTTTGTACAAAGTATGCCTTGTGAGGTATCATTTTAAAAGTCTTGATCTGTTGAACATTAATATCCTGTTGGATTGTATGTCCTGTCATTGTATGTGGAGTTATGAAGTATTGCTATATGTGTGTCTTACTGAAATATGTTGTGAGGTTGGGAACACCCATAACCAGCCTTTCAGTTACAACAAAAGAGTAGCCGTCAATAGCCAGACAGTATTAATGGCTCATCAACACCCAACAAGAAAGAATCCACTATCCCAGAGATTCCTTAGAGAAGGCACATATATAATGGAAACTGCTTGATCAATGGGAACTGCCTGGTCCCCACATCACAGCAAAGATCTTTCCAGCAAGCTGGAAGGAAGTAGAGACACAGTTACATTATTACTTGGCCTCTCTCTCCTCTCCCCCAATCTCAGCACCTGGAAGCATGTCTGGGAGACAAAGTTTTTGAACAGGGGAAGTTTGATCTCAGGCTGGAAAGGGAGTCCAGTCTGTGTTTTGGGGAACTGTAACCTGCTTGTACCATCTGTCAGGGGGAAAAAAGATGTTCATCTACTCTTGCTTAGACTAAAAGTTTTGGATTTAGAACACGTGTTTCTATTTTTATTTTCTTAAGGAAACTATCTCTGACCTTTATGCCTACCACTTATAATCACTTAAATTCTAGTTTCTGTACATTTTATCCTTACCAGTGAGTTTGTCTAAAGTGCTTGGGAAATCTGTTCAGATTACAAAGGCTGTGCATGTCCACTTTCTGCTTCTGGCCAGTGTAAAATGGTACAGTTCTGGGGTGCAAGGCTGGGAAGCTGCGGGAATGTGTATGTGCAGTGCCTATCAGAGGTTGGTAGCTTGATATCAGCATCACAGCGTGAGAGACATCCCAGGCTGGTGGATTTTGGAGAGCTCAGTGGTCCCACAGTCCAGGTTGCACCCTGGGGACCCCGTCACAATGAGTTTCATACCCTTCAGCCCTATTAGGAAATTTTACATCAACTTTGAAATTTTAGGAAGTTCCTCGTGATTTACTGAACATAGAGTTTTAGTCTCTTTGTTTATTTGATACAAAGCATACCCCAAGAAGGAGCACAGCCTAAGCATTACCCCTTAACTCAGGGAAACACTTACTGAAATTATTGTTGAGCAAGACGTGATGGAAAGTTCCCTTTCTCAAGGACATGAAAGTCAAGCAGTGATGCAGAAAGTAAATGTTGACAACACTAGGTGGCATTTTATATATGGTTATGCAACTTTCAAAAAAACAAACAAAAAAAACCCAACAATCCCTACTATACTGCAGGTTCCATGTTTTAACACTGACTCACCAAGCAACATCTGACAGGGGGGGGAAAAGAGAGGAGGTTTTTGGCTCTCTTAAAATATACCAGTGGTGACTCAACAGCATGAGTTGTAGCAGTTTGGGGAGATTTGCACTTTTCTAAAACCATCTACAAAATTACAGTTATGGCTGCAGTCAGTAATATCCATATCATCCTGTGGCCAAAACCAGCTATATGCACGGTCATCTTACCACAGATGGTTATCTCCTTGGAGTAGGAGGTCGACAGATGAATGATGTTAGGCATCTGTTTAAGGAGTTTCTTGGTTTCGTGTAGCAGCTGTAGGACATAGCGGGCATGAAGGTGCTGTGAAAGGAATGCGGTGAGACAAAGGAGGCATATTATAAATATACATAAAACCATACTACTTCATAAAAGTTCTGCCAACACAGAGACCCACCCACTACCAACAAGTTTGCTACAGGTACTTGCCATTTAAAGATTGTTTACAGTAGACATTTACTTTCTAAACACAATTACAGGCAGCATGGTCTAGGATGAAGAATCAGGAACTCATAAAAACATAAGAATGGCCATACGGGTCAGACCAATGGTTTATCTAGCCCAGTATCCTGTCTTCCAACAGTGGCTGGTGCCAGATGCTTCAGAGGGAATGAACAGAATAGGGCAATTTTTTGAGTGCTCTATTCCCTGTTGTCCAGTCCCAGCTTCTGGCAGTCAGAGATTTAAGGATACCCAGATCATGGGGTCTTAGAACTCCCAAATTCTAATCCTAGCTTTTCCAGTAAATTGCTTTGGAGAAGTCACTTCACCTGTGTGCCTCAGTTTTCCCACTTGTACAATGGGGTTAATAGGTACTTAATATAGCTCTTTGAATAGATAAAGGCTATACAAATGCTAAGTATTGTTAAATAACAAAAACAGACTTCCTTTTAGCTGTGAAAGTTTAATAACAAGTAGTAAAGTACAAAAGAAAGAAAAAAACAAGAGAGAGAAAACTAAAGTCAGGGCTGTAAAGTTAATAGTTAATCTGTCTTCTTCTATATAAGGTACTCCTGATGGAATTCTGAGCACCTGCATGGATGCAGAATTCTTATGGTCCGCAGTTTTCTGTGCCGGCACGCAGAAAAAATTTGAGTGAGACACATGCCTCTTCCCCATTAGCTCAGGTGGCACATCTGTTCCAGCACCTGGAGCAGCCCTCAGAGACACAAATCACGGGGAGGGAGAGGAGAGGAGGGGCTGGGCATACATGCCTGCATAGGAGACATTAATCACCATCACGGGCTGGGCATGCCTGCCTGCAAACAAGCAAGAGAGACTCTGTCCTTCACCCTTGCTACTGTGGAGCACCCGGCGTGGAGAGGTAGGGCTTCGGGTTGTTAGGCATGAGGCAGGCTCTGTCCCCTGAGGCAGAAATATAGCAGCCTGCCTGCCTACGTTCCTTCATTGCAACAAAGCAAGCAGCTGTTTTGCCAGGGTTGGAAATGCAATCAGCCTGTGCTATCCCTTTAAATTGCCTGGCGGCTCATTTTATAGCAGATAACAAGCATTGGATTGATAGACAATTCATTCAGTTTTTGCTTGAGAGGGGATAAGGTGTGGAAGAATAAGAGTCTGCTCTGTGCATTCCTACAAACAGTTTCAATGTTTGAAATAAAACACAGTTCTTGATGTGAAAAAAATACATTGTTAATGTTGCTATTGATAGTTAATTAATCTCATTCTCTGAGGCAGAAATGTAGCAGCCTGCCTGCTAGTGACATTGTTAATGTTCCTATTGTTAGGTAACTGTTTCCATTCTCAGTAAATTCCCCCAGCAGCATAAAATCTGTAAAAGTTTTAAGGCTCCTTTACATTTCCAGGGTGATATAAAGCAGCCTTAATACAAAAGACAGTAAGGGAATCCTCAGCTAGGAAAACTATGTGCTTTCTCACTTTTTTCCTGTGCCAAAGTGGCACAATGGGGTTAGATTACAGCTCAGGATTTATTTTACTTACACATTAAAAAAAAAGACTTTGAAGGCAAATAAAACATTTACCAAGCAGTCAATAAAATGTCAGGACAATCAGAACCAAGCACTTCCCAAAGTACCCAGCCAGGTCCAGATGAAGTTACCAAAGGGCAAAGGGATATTTGTTCTTTTGCACGGTGTGAACAGCCTTCACATCATGCATCAAAATCGGCTCCACCATCTTCTAATGCTCAAGAATTCTCTACAAAACTGCATGCAGATGGGGACAACATATTTTGCACATCCTGGAATGTTGTTCTCAATCATGATTGATGGTCTCTAATTGTGGATCATTTTACATAAAAACCCCACATTATTTTGACAAAATATGCAGAATTTTAAAATACTGTGCACAGAATTTTTAATTTTTTGGTACAGAACTCCCCCAGGAGTAAGTAAGCATGCGAATGAAACTCTCAATCTTTAAAACTCATCCATTCTATCTCTTTGTTCCTCTCAGCTGCAAAAATACTTTCCCACTGAGATTCCTTCTTTCTTGTACTTCCTGCTCTGTTAATAGTGTCTAGGATGATCCCGTCATCCAACGACTGCAGGTCTTTTCATTTAAAAATAGCCATCTCAGTGCACCATCCACCTGAAATTCTACTGAGACTTTCAACTACTTCCACTCTGGAAGGTGGTACGGGGAGAGGCAAATTCACAGCGGCTAATTACCCCTTCTCCAAAAAACTTTTGATCAAAGAATGAGCCTTAACTCCCACTTGGGAGCAAGAACATTGGTGCTCAAAGATGAAGCCTGTGTTTGCTCATTTACTCTTCTATTTACCACAGCTCCTCTTTCTAGATCCATCACTCGAGACATATATTGGAAGCCCCATTTACTCAATACATTTAAAACTAGGCTGAACTATTAATAGTTAGCACTGAAACTGCCGTTTAAAGTTTCAGATTAATCACTCCCCATAACACCCACCAATGTAAATATTAGCATCATTGTACAGATGGGGAAACAGAGGCAAACAGGCAAAGAATTTGCCCAAGAACACATATAAGGGAGTCAGTAGCAGAGCTAACTTCAGCTTTCCTAGCTTCTTGACTCAGGCTCAGTACTTTAGATCACAACAAATAATCAGTAAATGAACAGCAGAGAATAATCCTGCATTGCCAGAAAGATGTATTACGTCACCTAGTTCACTTAGTTTCTATGACCCTATAATTTAGTCTTCAAAACAACTTTTGACATTACTTAAATTTAGTCAGGATAGTCATAGTCTAAAACCAATACAGTCCCAACTCCTAACTTGCCTGTTGATCCTTGAAAGCATGAAGAAGTGAATTAGTGTCCGCAACAGTCAGGGGAAATGACAGCCGAGGTCCACGGTAGGAGTCTGGGACCTCTATCGTCCGCTCATATTCTAGTAATTGTACATCTGAACCTGCGGTATTAAAATCACTGGGACTATTGAAAAATTGATAAATCAAATCTAGAAAGGGAGGGAGGAAGACAGTGTAGAAAGTCTCATCTTGGAAGGCAACACAAGTTCTGAACTCACATTAATCACTGGTATTTATACTGCTATAACAAAGTGGGTAATTAGTTTCTGCCATTAGTTTGTGGATCAACTACAACTTTCCAACAATTATCTCTGATTTATAAAATAAAAAAATACAGTGTTTAAAGTCAGATTGAACATTGCTGCAAAATATTTTTCAACCACAGCCTGTAATTCTAGATTAGGAGAAATTTAGCTATCCAATCCGCCCTCCCTTCCCCCAACATAGATTTGAAGTTTATTGTTAATGATCGATAGCACCTTTTTTATTGTTAATTATCAATAGCTCCTTCACCTGTTTACAACAATGTAACGTTAAACTTTTAAGGGGGTTTAAAGCCAATTAGTTTTGCTGTAGTTATTTTCCTATATATGAGAAATGCCAAAAGCTCACTGAAGATTTAGGGCTTGTCTACACTCAAAACACTACAGCAGCACAATTTGCGTCACTGCAGCGCTTCAGCACAGACGCTACCTACACCGATGGGAGGGGTTCTCCCACTGACGTAGGTAATCCACCTCCCTGAAAGGCGGTAGTTAGGTCGCTGGAAGAATTCTTACATCGACCTAGCGCTGTCTACATGGGGACTTAGGCTGGCTTAACTACGCAGCTCAGAGGTGTGGATTTTTCCAGACCGATGTAGTTAAACCGACCTAATTTTCTAGTGCAGCGCAGGCCTCAAGCAAACAAACCCTATTCTCTCACAGCCGTGTGCCAGCAATGGTGTTTCAATATCACCATTTTCACTAGAGCTGAGACGCAATGTCCCCATGTGGCCAGCTGTCATAAAACTATTGCCTGAACTGCAGCAAGCATAAGTGTGGCAGGAGAAAGAAACATAGTTTGTTCTCCTATTCTTCGTGGAGGGTGGAGAAGGTGGAAATATTTCTAATTGCTTCAATTCAGGGTTCTTTTTATCTACACTCGTCTATACATGAGTATGTAGGGCACTGAAATGTTTGCTTTTGCACATCATTGGTCTGCCTCATTCCTTGGGCAGACTGAGAACCAGCTAGCAGCAAGATCCTTATTAAAAACATTGTAGTGGTTGCTCAGGTCGAGCTATGGTGTTGCTCTTGTGAGGTTCCAATTTTTAAACAGCTTTTGTTTTCTTGTAGTTGAGCTTAATTTTTTTCATAACCCTGATTAGACTTGATCTGAAATTCATAAAAAAGGGTTTATTTATTATTTATCATCATAGCCGAAGAACTGGATGCAAAATAAAACTCACAGCAGCTGAATCCTTCTTGCATTCACATACATATTTTATATCATTCATAATGAATACAATGCCATCATATAGAAAGAAGTTCAACTCGGCCAGCAACTGAAGAAAGTTCAAAATAAGAAGTGTTATCTGAAGGAACAGAAAGGAACAGTTTCCTTCTTAAGTGCTTACCCCATTCAAACCCTGGGTCTAAGTCAATCTAACTGGAGCAAAGCATCAAGCAGCAACGCTAAGGGCTTTAGCCTACAAGGTGCTGAGCACTCCCAATTTCCACTGACTGCAATGGGAGCTGAGTGCACGTCACCATCTTGCAGAATGATCCATTACTGACTGACTAGTCAATAACTTACGAGTGCCTTCCTCTTTACAGGGGAATAACCAAATCGAGGTTAAACAGACTCCAAGGGCCTACCTACATGGAATCAATTTTGCCATGAAAAGCACAGTGACCTGATCATCCCAACCAGTGTGCACACCAGCTCTCACTGACAAGCCCGAGGAGAATAGCTCAGGCTATAGTTACTATCAAGTTAGCAGGGAGTATCTGGAAGATATGACACTGAAATGGGTTCTCCATTCTCTCACTTCTATGCTCTGATTGGCTCCTGTCCTCACAGCTCCCCATCCAGGGCTCTGACAAACCTAGCCATTCCATCTTCTTACCACTATGCCCACTCTGTCTCCATGCCTAATCTCAGGATTTGCAATGTCTCCTTCTGCAGGGCTGGCTTACCCCAGCCCCTACCCCCACTTTAGAGCAATTCCATTTTAAAATTAAATTTTATTGCTTCGTTGGGGATTGCATGGGGTGACAGGCAGGGAATCAGGTCAGAAATCGAGGTATCTATGTTTGCTGTGGGCATACGGACGAGGAATTCTAAGAACAGTAACCAATCAGAGCAGGGATTTATAGGGGTCAGAGTAGGGAGATTTACATAATTACTGATCTTATACTGAGAAATAAGCATAGAATAATTATGTAAATCAGAGCCCCGCCCTAAGCCAGCATGCAGGGATGTGCATCACTGAAAAACACCCGTCTAACCGTGGATTAATAACTGTATAGTATCCTGTGTTCTTGACTTGTGGGGAGAACTCTCTTTCAAGGTGACATGCAATAAAGAATAGCTCTTCATATACCAAATAAACCAGTTCCTCACTGCATGTGACCAAAAGATTAAGACAAAACACAAAGGCGATCTATGTTTTTTGAAAATGTGTTCCCACACAGTACAGTCTGTTACTTTTTTATTTAAATGATGGAAATGACCAAGAATATGTGTTATGCCAATTGCTTAAAATTAATTTTTTTTCTCCTGGTAGAGATCCCGGGGGTGGACTGAAAGGCTGGGCAGGTACATTTACAAAGTCCCCCCCACACACACACTACCCTTTTTTTTTTTTTTTTTTT